GTACCTACCTGCCTATTTGTTATATGCATATAGTTTTAAGCCGAGAAAGATTGAACTTATCGCCCCTACTTTATTTTTATTACCTATCTAATTCATTTAATTATTGCAGAGTTTTGATATCAAAATATTGTTTAAAAGTTTCTATAGAATTTACAGAAATATATTAAAATATATTAAATGAAATAATAATTTTATATAACATTAAAATAAGTTCAGCCGTTTTCATAAAACTCTATTATGGATCTTAGCGATTTATTGCTTTTAATAATTAGAAACAGTTTGTAGCCGGAACTTTGTTTATTTCATAATATTTATAATAATTGATTAATCATATTATGTTAAAATAGCCATATCCTGTTAAGTTCGAATCGCCTTAAGATTACTAAAACAAAGTTTTTTTTTTATTTAATAACTTACACATTTACAGGTAGGTAATTGATACAAAACATGGCCGAATCTAAGAAGAAGTGTCGTCAGTACAGTGTTGAATATTTAAAATTTGGTTTTCTTCCATCAAAGGCAGACAAACGATTGCCCACATGCCTTTTATGCAACAAAGTTTTGAGCAATGACTCTATGAAACCATCAAAGCTGGAAGATCATCTAAGAAGGTGTCATCCTGATGAAATAGGTAAAGATTTGAAATATGTCCAAACATTAAAGGAAAAATATGAAAAGAAACCCACCGTGAACAGTATGTTCTCTTCAACGTCTGAAAGCAACGATGATGGCTTACGGGCATCTTACAATATCTCATTACTTATCGCAAAATCTGGAAAACCGCACACCATTGGAGAACAATTAATTTTACCTGCTGTTGAAGAAGTTTTAAAAACTGTTCTGAACAAATCTTCATTTGACATACTCAAAAGAATTCCTTTGAGTAACAACACTGTACAAAGACTTATTGCTTAGAGGAGCTCTGATGTTGAAAGTTTCTTGTCTGATTATCTACGAACAACTAATTTTACTATTAAACTGGACGAGTTAACTTTACCTGGCAATGAAGCATTATTATTGGCATATGTTCGATTTGTTATGAGCGAAGAAATTCATGAAGAGCTACTATTTGCGAAAATTTTGAAGACGGACACTAAAGGTGAATCAATATTTAATGTTTGAGTGATTTTTCTAAAGAAAAATCGATTTTATTCACAAACGTTATTTCGGTGGCAACAGATGAAACATCTGCCATGGTCGGGCGATATCGTGGGTTTATAAGCCATCTTAAAAGAATTATACCAGATGTAATTGCGATTCACTGTGTTATCCACCGACAACATCTAGTAGCAAAAAATTTGTGATTAATGCAGTTAACAAAATAAAAAGCAATGCATTGAATACGCGTTTATTTGCACAATTGTGCGATGAAAATGATGAAGACTTCCAACCGAAGTACACTGGTTGTCGAAAGGTGTATGTTTATTAAGACTTTATTTACTTTTTGACTCAGTTTTAGAGTTTTGGAATATAAAGATCCTGATTTAAAAAAAACTTAATCAATTTTAAAGCAGATTTGTTCAAAAAATTTAATGACCTCAACTTACAATTGAAGACCTCGGGGGAAAATAGTAACAAGCCACATTTTAATAGTTTCGAGAAAAAAGGGAATGAAATTTTTTATTAAATCCTGAAATCAGGATTATCAAAATATACCTGTAAATAATATTTTTTTTTGCTTATACTAGCAAATGGTTTTATTTCATATATACAAAAAGAAAAAAAGAAAAAAAAATTTAAAAAATGGTGGCTTGTTACGTTTTTGAAAAATATTGTACCTGTTTTTTTTTTACCAAAGAATGAAACAACTTGTGGATATAAATATTTATTATTACAATCAAAGGCACTTAAGGTTTCCAATTTCCAATGATTGAAACAAACTGTTTAATGCTCGAATTCAGAGTCACCAATGTCACCATCAATATTTTCCACTTCACCATCTTGGTCTTCGTCACCATCATGGTCGATTGCATTGGCAATGGCATTGACACCAATATTGGTATAGTAGTTGCTATAAGCTTGAGGAATATATGGAAGTAAAGTCCTTAAATTCTTCAACTTTTTTTCATTAATAGCCAGAGGACCAACGTACTTATTTTCTAATGTTTCAAGCTCTTGTATCTGTTAATTATATTTTCTGACCTCTCTTTCCAATGTTGACTACCTTAAATGATTCTTCATTTAAAAAATGCTTAATAAACATTGTATTTTTTTTATGCAAAAAGGTAATAAGCCACAAGGCATCTGAGATAACCTCTTTTCGTTAATATATCACACCTTTTTTAGAAAAATGGGCCGTTTGATCAACTCAGGTAAAAATAAAATGCTTAAACATATTCTAAGATACATTGAACTGCCGTAATTAAAAAAAAAATAAACTTTTCGGATCCTTTTAAAATTTTGGTGAAAAAAGTAACAAGCCACGTTATATTTTATTTACCTCTGAAGTGGAGACTCTGCTGGCCTCACTGCTACAACTTGAATTAAAATAGTCTTTATCCTTTACACTATCATCCGCCTCACTCGAAATATCACTTTGATCACTGTTTTCATCATAAATAAACAACTTTCGCTTAACTGCACTGCCGCTGCCACTCGCCATCTTGAAAATGTGTGGCTTGTTTCGTTTTTCTGTCAAAATTTATCAGCATTTACTTTTGACGGAAGAACATCATTAGAGTTCTGTAGCGCCATCTCTTGCCGAAATGTCACAATATCTTCACTGTGGCTTGTTACGTTCTTTAGGCATTAAAAAAAGATGTTATTTCAATTTTATTTGTGATGTGGCTTGTTACTATTTTCCCCCGAGGTCTTCAATTACAAGGGGGCAGCCTCAATTTAATAAAAACAAAGAGTGTAATTTCAGCTTTTCTTGGTAAATTGAAATTTATGAAGGAAAATATTGGTCGGCGCGAATTTTCACAGTTTTCAAACTTGTCGCAGGTAGATAGCCTTGATGAAGATATTCAGAAATACGTTCAACATTTGATTGCACTGCATGATGATTTTAAATTTAGAATTGATGATATTCTGTCGATGGAAATACCACCATGGATCATAAATCCATTTGATGAAATGGAAGTGGAGCTACTCGAGCTTAGCACTAATGAGGAGCTGAAAGTGACATTTAGAAGAGGGTATCAAAAATTTTGGCTGCAGGTAGAAATACCCGAAAAATATCCTGGACTGTGGGGAATTGTGCAGAAGCTTCTGATAGCGTTTCCCTCGTCATATTTCGTCGAAAAAAGTTTTAGTTCCGTTACAAAAAAGAGCAGATTGAATATCACAGAAAGGGGAGATTTACGGTTATTCCTTACAAAACTCAAGCCAAATATTGATAATTTGCTGTAGATCCATCAAGTACATCCCTCTCATTAAAATTATATTTTTTTGTACTTACCATTGTAGAAATTACATTACGTTATAAATGTTTAATTTTAATTATATTACGACGGTTATAACAATAATAATTAATAGTGTAATAATTTATATATTTAAATTTAAATAAATACCTACAACATAAGGAAATATACTTTATTTCTTTTTACGACTCCGAATGGGATGTTTTCTAAATAAAATTTGTGAAAATTGATTGGTTCTTGTGCTGTGAGCCACTGTAGATTTCAAAAAAGTAAAGTTGGATGGAGTCACTTTTTCATTTGGCCAACTTTGCTTTTTTGATATCCACTCACAGCACAATCAATTAAAATTTAATTGTAAACTTGTTTAGTCGACTTTATTATCAAATAATTAACCCTATCAAGCAATCAATTCTAACCTTTTTTTTCGAAAACTGTTAATTCATCGTTAAAACTCAGCCACAACGCAAGTTTCCATAGAGAGATCTAATCTTTACTTTTTTTTTTCGAGATTTAGAAATTGGCAGTGATGTAGCTATACCGGATCCAGCAAAATTTTGAAAGTGGTCTATGAAACAAAAGAGTTTGGGAACCTCTGCCCTAGACACTTTTCTATTAATTTCGCAATGCAAAATTGGTAATAGACAATTTACAATCTTTGCATTGATCTTGGAGCATTGCAAATTTGCATTTATTTATGGAAAGGTATTTAAATCGTTCCGTAAAATTTGCAATACTTTTAAAAATTTTTGGCAACTGCAAAATGCACAAATTGTTGATTTTTGTTAATTTTTCAAAGTTCCGGACTTTGTCCGAGGTTGCAGATTTACCAGATTGTTAAGAAAAATAATATTAACATTTTCAACCAATTTTAAAAACTTTTGAATTTTTTTTAACAAAATTAGAGGAAAATAAAAAATGATTTTGATATTCTTACAAAAAAAAAATATTTCGGTGCAAAATAAAAGATTCCAATTTGGAATAACTGTTCCAAAACTTTGTTTGAGTTATGTCATCGGTTTGTAGCACTTTGAATTTTTTTTGTCTATGATACACAAAAAAAACAATCATGTTCCGGACTTTCAAAAAAGTTGCAAATCTGATATAATGTTGAAAATAATACAATATATATTGCTTTAAGTTTGCAGCACTTTTGCAATTTTTTTCTCAACATTATAAACAAAAGCGCCATTTTGGTATAAATTAGCTAGTTCCGGACCTTGAAAATGGTTGCAAATTTAAACTTAGTGTTATTTAAACTAGCCGATTATTATTTCAAAGTCTGAAAACTTTTGTAATTTATGTGAAATGTTCAAAATAGGATGTCTTTACTGACTGGCCTAGTGAGCGATGTTTGACTTTCACAGCCACCCAGAGTTCAAATAAAAAAAAAAAACTGAATATATCTGTACCTTAGAGTGCAACCTTGATGAAATGTATATTAGGGTAAACGTTTCAGTCAAGTACGTCGAACAAATAGAGGGTTGAGCTGTCAATTGAAATATGGGAAACCCAGCAATTCGAAATAATGCATCGCTCTTTAGCCACGTTTTTCGGTAGGTATCAACAAATCATTCTAAATTTAAGTATAAGCTTCCTATAAACAAGAGAATCTCCGCATTGTATTTAGCTTTACTTTTATCTGGCACCGACGTCTCAGACGTAACGGCGCGGCGTTCGCGAGAGGGAAGGGGCGACCATAAACAAAGCGCGTGCTAAGATATATAAAGCCGAAGCGTCGAGTAATAACAAAACATTTGAATTTTGTAACAGGCAAAAGTGATACCGAAAGTGCATTGTTTTCAACTGCTCGTTGGTTATCAGTTTGTTAAGGACTTTTTCAAGATGCGCCCGCCGTCTCAGTATCCTCAGGAGATTGCTCAAGAAGCTGACGAGAATGAATCGGATCCAAGATTCGGTGCTATGATGATCTGCACCAAACTGGCTGGCAGAGCTGTAATAAGGGTGATTGGAAGATGTAATGATGCTAAAGAAAATGAAAATCTCGGTGAGTGGGAGTTGGTGATAAGTGATGTTTGTGATAAATAGTGAATTCCGGTTTTTATTCGGAAAATTTTCAAAATGTATGTGGTTTTTATTTTATAAGAAATATTACTCTGATATACGGGCATTAAAATATACAAGGTGTCCACAAAAGATTGGTCATAAATTATAACACATATTCTGGAAACAATAATAGGTCGATTGAACCCTCAAAACTACACACACAAAAATAAGTTGTATAATTTAAATCAATTTTTTTAGCGTTGCTCTAAAACGGTTTAACAATTATTTGTTTGTAGGGTACTAGTATACTAGTAGCTGCATTTATTTATTTTAATTTTTTATGAATTTTCAGAGGGGGTCAACACCCCTTTGACCTTCCGACTTATTTGTACTGGAATATTTAGCTAAAACGGAACGGCACTGGAATCAAACATCTATTCAAAAACTATTTTGTTTCTGAATATATTTTCTTTGTCAAAATTTGAATTTGGAAGATACCATCTATTTTAATGTCAATTTTAAAATACCTTTTGAATTTAAACTCTTCTTTTTCACAAATAAACATATAAAAATAATTATACTATTAAATTACAAATAACATGAAGAATACAATAATTTAATGCAATCTGTGTTCTTAATTATTAATGTTGTTTACAGGCTATTGAAGCTTAATTTCGTATATATGTAAAGTTATCACATATTTGTAAAAACAAGTAGTCTGTGATTGACTACTGTTAGTGTTTTGTCAGTATTGACATTGCTTTGTCAAACATTTATTGTTTTGTAAAAAAGTTTTGCTTGTTAACCATTTAAAATGAATAATTAGTTGTTTTTTTGAAATGAAATACACTTAGTTTTAGGTAAGGTTACAATAATTGTAACAATAACGATTGTATGTAATAATTTATTTTTCATTTTGCAATTGGTTGAATGCATTAAATTATTGTACCTTTTATGTTATTAGTTGTAATTTAATATTATTATTATTACGAATTCAATATTTTAAAATTGACATTTAAGAAGATTGAGGTATGTTCCAAATTCAGATTTTCACATATAAATAATAAGATAGCAAATAGGTAGTTTTAGAATATATGTTTGATTCCAGTGGCGTTCCGTTTTTAGCTAAATATTTACATGCAAAAATGTTGAGGGGTCAAAGGGGTGTTGACCCCCTCTGAAAACTCATAAACAAAATAAAATGCAACTACTGCGTATTTAATGTTAAACCATTTTAGAGCAACGTTAAAAAAATGTATTCAAATTTTAAATTTAAATTCCCTGTAACTTCGAATACACAGGGTCTTAAATGAGTTTAGTCTGGTACAGACTTATGTTTTATATTTTATTTATGAATTACCCCCACTTTTCTGATTATAACAGTACCAAATAATTTGAAAATCACAGAATACTTAACACGATAAAACCAGATTTTTAAGAAAATATATGTGTACAGGGTGAGTCAAAATTGAAATACATTTTCTAATTTTTTTATAAAATTACCATTTTATATTATCATTCAAAAATACCCTAACCAACCTGGGTGGGAAACGTGTCTACCTAATTCCATACTCCTTGTTTTGAGGGGGCTTTCTTTTTCTGGAATAGATAGGGTTAATAGACAGGTACAATAAAACTTAATATTATTGATTCTGGCTAAATGAAAAACATATCCAACAGCCATAAAAGAAATACCCTAACCATTTTGATTTGATTTGAGATATAACTTAATAGTTTTTGAAGATTTTAAAATTATTGTTACTCTTCCTTTCAGAATATAATATAATTTTAACTTGTCAATGATTAATATAAAATACACTGCTTTTATTAGATACTGGATACATTAGATTTTTTCACACTAATCAACCACCTACAAAATTCGCAAGGTGCATAGATTTTTAATAATTAATCACAGCGAGCTAAAGTTATTAAAAATATGGAAGATACTCGTTCATATTATATTACAATACAAGAGATTTTTAAAAATGTTCAGTTTGGTGATTGTATAAACAAAATTTTAAGTAAAATAATGTATAGACATCAAAAAGAAACGCAAAAAATAATTTTAATATTTGTTCTTGACTTTTGAGTGTTTACAAATAACGAATGCTGTAATATTTCGATCCTTTTCAAATCTATATGACTTTAAAACTAGTTTAGATAATGAAATACGATTTTCACCAGATTTCTTCTGTTTATAAGATTTTTCTGAGCATCTGTAACCGGAAATAATATAATTTATTTTTTCTGGGATAGGATAACTATATAATAAATATCAAATGAAAGACCATGTATACTCGTATGTTTAGATATTCAGAAAAACTATTCTTTTTCGATCTAAATATGCAATATAATATATGTAAGATTTAAAAATATTAAAAACAAAAATAAATAAAATAAAGCAAATAATTTTTGTTCGTTTTCCAAGTTTCATTATTATTTCCGATAAATATTTTGTTAGAATAGTATTTTAACACGTTATGAAAATTACCTTCTAGTCTCATAGTCTCATCTATCAAAAATGGTACAAGAATAAAAATAAATTTTTACCAAAAAACATTAGAAAGGGAACCAACTTGTGACGAATCTTTGGGTTATATAGTTTTTAAAATATTTGTAAAAAAGTTTGTTGTAACTAGATTCTCCTACTCTCTTATTTAAGGTGATAATTTTTATTTTGGAGAATATTTTAAAATTAGTAACTTGAAAATTAGAATTGTAGCTACTCAATATAAATAAATAATGACGTATTTCAAAAATAAATAAAAATAATAAAAAAAAAAATAAATAAAAATAAATAAAAATAAATAAAAGTAAATAAAAATAAAATAAATAAATAAAAATAAATAAAAATAAATAAAAATAAATAAAAATAAATAAAAATAAATAAAAATAAATAAAAATAAATAAAAATAAATAAAAATAAATAAAAATAAATAAAAATAAATAAAAATAAATAAAAATAAATAAAAATAAATAAAAATAAATAAAAATAAATAAAAATAATTAAAAATAAATAAAAATAAATAAAAATAAATAAAAATAAATAAAAATAAATAAAAATAAATAAAAATAAATAAAAATAAATAAAAATAAATAAAAATAAATAAAAATAAATAAAAATAAATAAAAATAAATAAAAATAAATAAAAATAAATAAAAATAAATAAAAATAAATAAAAATAAATAAAAATAAATAAAAATAAATAAAAATAAATAAAAATAAATAAAAATAAATAAAAATAAATAAAAATAAATAAAAATAAATAAAAATAAATAAAAATAAATAAAAATAAATAAAAATAAATAAAAATAAATAAAAATAAATAAAAATAAATAAAAATAAATGAAAATAAATAAAAATAAATAAAAATAAATAAAAATAAATAAAAATAAATAAAAATAAATAAAAATAAATAAAAATAAATAAAAATAAATAAAAATAAATAAAAATAAATAAAAATAAATAAAAATAAATAAAAATAAATAAAAATAAATAAAAATAAATAAAAATAAATAAAAATAAATAAAAATAAATAAAAATAAATAAAAATAAATAAAAATAAATAAAAATAAATAAAAATAAATAAAAATAAATAAAAATAAATAAAAATAAATAAAAATAAATAAAAATAAATAAAAATAAATAAAAATAAATAAAAATAAATAAAAATAAATAAAAATAAATAAAAATAAATAAAAATAAATAAAAATAAATAAAAATAAATAAAAATAAATAAAAATAAATAAAAATAAATAAAAATAAATAAAAATAAATAAAAATAAATAAAAATAAATAAAAATAAATAAAAATAAATAAAAATAAATAAAAATAAATAAAAATAAATAAAAATAAATAAAAATAAATAAAAATAAATAAAAATAAATAAAAATAAATAAAAATAAATAAAAATAAATAAAAATAAATAAAAATAAATAAAAATAAATAAAAATAAATAAAAATAAATAAAAATAAATAAAAATAAATAAAAATAAATAAAAATAAAAAAAAATAAATAAAAATAAATAAAAATAAATAAAAATAAATAAAAATAAATAAAAATAAATAAAAATAAATAAAAATAAATAAAAATAAATAAAAATAAATAAAAATAAATAAAAATAAATAAAAATAAATAAAAATAAATAAAAATAAATAAAAATAAATAAAAATAAATAAAAATAAATAAAAATAAATAAAAATAAATAAAAATAAATAAAAATAAATAAAAATAAATAAAAATAAATAAAAATAAATAAAAATAAATAGAAATAAATAAAAATAAATAGAAATAAATAAAAATAAATAATTCTTACGATCTGGTATGAAAAATATGAGAAGTTATTTGATAAAAATGACATATCTCGATGTTCTGACACCCCAATAGCCTATTCGAAACTCAGTTCCGAATGCAATCTGGTGATATTAGCAGTTGGGTAGTAATGCATTTGTTTTATATTAAAAACATGACTCCACGCGTGTGAAGCCGTGGGCAACAGCTAATATAATATAAAACAGTCATAGCGAATATTTCAGCAATTTCCAAATAAATATCCAATGTTAAGAAGTCAGGGGACCACAAAACGTAAAAATCCGTCGAAAACTCGAGGTCGAAAAAAATGCTTTCTATCTTTTAGTTTTTGCTCCTTATAGTAAATTTACGTTAATTTATATAGCGACAAAATGTTGTGGGCCACAATTAATTTTAATTTGATTATGAATCTATTTATTAAAAAATAACATTTATTAAACCAAGATCGGTTAATATTTGTTTCTTATTTTTTTTATTCCGTTAAGTGAAAGTATACTCGTATTTAATTTACAATGAATAGATATCGAGAAGAACTTTCATTAATGTTCATTAGTATCGTACCATAAATTTAGAATTACACAATTAAACATTATATTTGTTACCTATAATAATACTTCTAGTTATACCAGAAGCAAATATACAGTATGTCCCAGATTTAAACGGACATAGCTTAAGGAGAAGTAGGAAA